AAGGGGAAAAACAAGTCGTTTAAATAAGGATACAGGTGAACCCGTTGTAACAATGAGAAGTACAAGTTGTCATGTTGAAAACGAACTTCACAACTTTGGTTGGGGGGGGGGGGAGCAAAGGAGGGCGGGGAGGATGGGGGGGGGCCCGGGGGGAGTCTGGGAAGGGGAAACAAAGGAGGAGGCTACAATGCTTGATAAGAAATGTACTCATTATCTTGTCCATGTAATTGTAACCCCTCTATACAGTATTTTCACAATAAAAATAAATAAAATTTTTTAAAAAAAACAAAGGTTTTGTGGGCACCTTGGAAGTGTCATGAGAAGAGAGCACTGTTTTACGGTTCCCCAGCTTTAAGGCTTCCCAACTTTATGACTTTAATGAGCGTTAAGATAGTGTCGCAAAAGCACAAGGGCAGAAATAGAGCCCTGGGTACAGGATGAGGTGAGGAGGGCAGGGCACAGCAGGACAAAGACCTGCCGGGTGGAGCCTTGGAAGGTGTCATCACAGAGCCCCTGACAGGATGCTGTCCGCACCGTGAAGCCAGGGAGTTAGCTTGCACAGCCATTTTGCCCATCAGTCTCACATTGGTTCTGTATTTAGTGTGTTTGTATTCATTCACTCTTTGTGTTTGAATGTGTTTGAAATATTTCACAGTGGTACCTTTTCAACCCTAAAAATCACATAAGAGTTTTGTTTGTTTGTTTGGGGTTTTTTATTTTTCTTGAGCTGCAGTTTGGCTGTGCATTATAAGACTGCAACCTTCGCCTGGCCTGTAGCAAAGGAAGGCTGTGCCCTTCCCAGGGAAAAAGAGGCTCATTCTGTTTGGAACCTCCTCCATCTTGGGGATTAGATCCTATGAATCATTCTCTGGGGACTTCTGGAAATCTAGTTTGTCCCAGACCACAAGCAGCATGACAGGGTTCAGGTTTATTTCAGTGTTTTGGCATTTGCAGCTCCAACTGAAATTGCAAAGACATAGAAGGCAGATCAAGAAAAAAAATGGAAAATAAAATATTTTTTAAAAAAGAAAACAAATGGTTCATATCTTTTAAACATCGCATTCTGTCTGTGGTTCTGCCTATACATTTGGAATATTCTTTCCTCACTTCCCCCTTTCTTCTCTCCTTCCTCCTTCCTCTCTCAGGAAAGTCTAATTCCTCTTATGTCTGGCACTGTGCAAACCATAAAGAGATAGAAAGGTAAACAAAACAGGAATTTATCATTGCCTAAAGGCTTCCTCTAGGGAAAGTCACCATCATCAAACAAACTCAAAATTAAATATAATTACAAATTGGTTAAGCCTCTGAAGGCAGAGGACAGGGCATTTGATATGGAAACATGTTGGTAGAAAGAACAAATTTACATTTTGAAGCTAGAAATAGTCTAAATGTTTCCAAATCTAAAGGACCTTTCCAAGTGTTTTATTTGACATACTAACCCCTTGTTCATTATTTCCCAGAGGAAATTTCTAAAGTAAGATGATACTGCTTTCTCCTTCAATGTCCTCCCATACTCCCTATCAATCATAGGCTAAATTGTAATTTTCCATAATATAAAGAATTAAAGAATTTCTTTAAGAAGAATTGCATTCCCCATTAAAACTGCTTCTAGATACTTACCTTCTAGAGGAAGGTTACAGGCTACTTGTGACAAAAATAAATGATATAGAGTCTATTTGATGGAGCTATCAGCAGCCTTTAAAGCAATCTAGAATTGGAGCAAAGCTATAATATTCAGAGCAGGATTAGAGAAATGAATAACTATAGGAGACTCTCCTAGTCCATATTCATTTGCCATAACAAAATTCTTAAAACTGGGTACTTAATAAAGAAAATCTAGTTTAAGTCATTTAGTGGTTGGATTATCTGGTTGGATTTTTTAATTTCCATTTTTAAAACTTAAAGTAGAAAATAATGGTTTACATTATGATATTTTCATACTTTCATTCGCATTTCTTTTTAACATCTTGAGCTCAAATTTCATCCACTTTCCTGCAAATAACATGATTTTATCCTTCTTTGTGGCTGAGTATATATAGTCATCTGTTGATGGGCAGCTATACTAATTAGCTAGCCTGAACTTAGCTATTGTGAACAGTGCTGCTGTAAGCATGGGTATGTAAGTATCTTTATTCTATGCTGACTTTTGTCTCCAGGTATATGCCCAAGAGTGATTATGGCTGGGGTTGTATGATAATTCTATTTAGTATTTTTTCTTCAATAAAATGATTTGAACTCAGGCCTTGGGCTTGCTAAGCAAGTGCTATACCGCTTGAAAATGTCCCAACCTTTATTTGCTTCAGTTATCTTTCAGTTAGTGTCTAAAGTTTTTGCCAGGCTGACCACAGATCATGATAATCTTACCTGTGATCTACTGACCATGATAATCTTACCTGTAATCTTACCTATGATCTATTGTTTGCCTGGGATCAATAGGAACATGCCACCATGCCCACATTATTTGTTAAGAGGGGTCTTGTTTATTTTTTTGCCCAGACTGATTAACTTTAAATCTCTAAAAACCAATCTCTAAAACTTTGTTCCTCACTTGGACTGCATGACATTGATTTCTATCCATCCACTTGAAATATTAACTACCCACTGTGTGATCCATATCACAATTTTGAAAAACACTAAGAAGATTACATGTGTAACCTGGCCTATTTCACCTGACCTACATTCAGCTTTTTGAGGAACCTCCAAATTGATTTCCACAATGGTTGAGCTAGTATATATCTCCACCAAGTTTTTAAGGGGTCCTTTTTCCTTATCATCACCATCTTTGTTGTTTGTGTTCTTGATCATGGCTATTCTAAGTGGGGTAAGATGGAATGTCAGTGTACTTTTGGATCACACAGACTTTTTGTGTGTATGTCATAGTCCTGTGGTTTGAACTCTGGGTCTGGGTGCTATCCCCAGGCTTTTATGCTCAACTCTGGTGCTGTACTGCATGAGCTACAGGTTCACATCTGGGGTTTGGATGATTAATTTGGGAAAAGAGTCTCATGAACTTTCCTGCCTGAGCTGGCTTTGAACCATGATCCTCAGATCTCAGCCTACAGAGTAGCTGGGATTACATGGCACCTGGCTGTCACACAGACATTCAAATGAAATTCATTTATTCCTTATTTTGAGCTTTAAGTTTTCAGAGCAATTTTGAGATTAGGTGTCAGAAATATCAAACTATTTTATCCATACAATTATTTTTTAAAAAGTAGTTCCAAAGGTGACAAAGGTGGTAAATTCAGACATTATGATTAACAAACTTTGTTTTTTTTTTAAAAAAAAATCCAAATTGCATTCAATAGAGAGCAGGATTTAGGGGGGGAATAGTAGAGAAAAAGCAGAGAAGGGAAGGAGAGACCAAGTGCTGGAAGGAAAAAAAAGTGGAGGTAGAGAAAAGCAGAGAGATCCTAAGGGAAAATGACATCTTAAAGAAGAAAAAGAGGGAAGAAATTTAAAACTCTGTCATTCACTTGGACCATATGATATTAATTTCCATCAATCCCTTTTGAAGTGTTAATTTTTTCTAACTACCCAGTATGAGACCCATAACCCTTATTCTGAAAAATAGTTGTTCAAGATAGGCAAGTATGTTAGACATCTCTCTGAAACTAGCCTCTGGCTTACTGAGCAGTGTCTTTCATAATTCATAGGCACAGATCAGAAGAGTTAAAAGTAGCCCTCCTAACCTAGATATTTAAAGGCCAAAACCCATAGATTATAATATTTCCAGAGGTTTTATGTCCTTTATCAACCTTTTTCCAAACAGAATGACTATCTAGCTACATGATCTGCCCCCAGATGATTAAATAAATTGTCATCTTAGCTTTATAGACATTGAATTGTATCTAAAGTCAGATTGATCATCTGGACTGTAATGCAGAAAGATAGAAAAGCACTTGCATTAGGTGGATTCAATCTAGTAACAGAGCAAAGCACCAAGCTGGCGTGTCTTACAAATGTGTAGAATTGAGGTGACTGACAACATAGTATTTCAATTAAGCTGCATATAAATCCCTGTTCTTAGAATTGGGGCAACTTACCTGGAAATTCATGTTCCCTTTTATTCTGAGAAAGGCATTGTTGCAAGCATAGCAGTCTCCAAAAGAGCTCTCCATTAGGCTGGAGTATTTTTTTTTAGTGAGCCCTGTCTACATCTGGACATGAACTTTCAAACATGGTGGATGGACCAAGCATACAGGGACCCAGCAACGAAAATAATTTATAAAGTCTGGAAGATGTTCAAAGGCAACACTAATAAAATGGGGCTGATAAATTATAAACTCAGAGAAGTGGCTGAGAGTAATTTTAATTTTTTTTTAATTTATGAAAGGCTAAAGATGAACAACCACAAGAGTACACTTCTTCTTTTGAGAAAAAGGTAGTAGACAGATAGTAGCTGCAGGGAGAATATCAACTTACATTATGAGGGAACTTACATCAGGTCTCAATAGAAACAATGCCAACCTTGTGCTATGAACCCCTGCCCTTATTTTGAGGAAAGAGTCCTATCTATTAGGCCTGAACTACAATTATTCCTGCATGGAAACAGAAAGCAAACCAGCTAGTTTTTCTCAAACATGGAATCTCCAGGTTCACAGGGAACTTTGGAGGAACCACTTTATAAATAAGAACACCACTTTCAGTGATTGTCCAAGGTTATGCAGGTATTAAGCAGTGAGGTTGGAAAATTGCCCAAGTTCTGTCAACCTCCAGTCCATGGCTGTTTCTCTGTACACAAAAGTACCTCCTTAGTCTATTAACACCAAATACATCAAATCTCACCCCGTATCTAGACCCTTGGGGCAGCATTCTCACAGCTCTAGGCTTTCTCCATACATCTGGCACTTCTGAGTGAGTTCAGAAACCCAAAGAAACTGAAAGGTTTTGCTGAAGCCAAGCTAACCTGTCATAAGCTACCAGCTCTGGGTGACTTGACTTTCATGGCCACCATTGCCTTTCCCTTTTGACCAATATCTTCCTGCTTGCATTTGTAGGTTTCACAGCCGCAGCCTCTCTTGTGTCCTTGGCTTGGGCCCTGGCCTCCTACCAGAAAGCCCTGCGAGACTCTCGAGATGACAAGAAACCCATCAGCTACATGGCAGTCATTATCCAGTTCTGCTGGCACTTCTTTACAATTGCCGCCAGGGTCATCACATTCGCGCTTTTTGCGTCAGTTTTCCAGCTGTACTTTGGGATCTTCATCGTCCTCCACTGGTGCATCATGACTTTCTGGATCGTCCACTGTGAGACAGAATTCTGTATCACCAAATGGGAAGAGATTGTTTTTGACATGGTGGTAGGAATCATCTATATCTTCAGTTGGTTCAACGTCAAGGAAGGCAGGACACGCTGCAGGCTGTTCATTTACTATTTTGTGATCCTTTTGGAAAACACAGCCTTGAGTGCGCTTTGGTACCTCTACAAGGCTCCCCAGATTGCAGACGCATTTGCCATCCCAGCGCTGTGCGTGGTGTTCAGCAGCTTTTTAACCGGCGTGGTTTTTATGCTGATGTACTATGCCTTCTTCCACCCCAACGGGCCCAGATTCGGGCAGTCACCGAGTTGTGCTTGTGAGGACCCCGTCGCTGCCTTCTCCCTGCCTCCAGAGGTGGCCACAAGCACCCTCCGATCCATCTCCAACAACCGCAGTGTGGTCAGTGACCGCGATCAGAAATTCTCAGAGCGGGATGGGTGTGTACCCGTCTTTCAGGTGAGGCCCACGGCTCCATCCACCCCATCATCTCGCCCGCCACGGATTGAAGAATCGGTCATTAAAATTGACTTGTTCAGGAATCGGTACCCAGCGTGGGAGAGACACGTGTTGGACCGAAGCCTACGAAAGGCCATTTTAGCCTTTGAATGCTCCCCGTCTCCCCCAAGGCTACAGTATAAAGATGACGCCCTCATTCAGGAGCGGTTGGAATACGAAACTACTTTATAAGACAAAGTGATTTGCAGGAGCCACAAGGTCCAGATGAAGGGGTGAGAGCAGGGCTGTGGCAATAATGACACTTCATCCTAGAGTAAGGCAATGAGCTGTAATGTCCTTAGTTTGACCATTATCATGATTATGGTTTGCTCTTCGGTCAGCTGACTGCCTGCTGCTGGTCTCCTTTCAAACCAGCAGCCCCAAGAGTCTCTAACTCCACCTGAAGGGGCCATGCAGTTTCATTTGACTGTCGCTACCAAACTCCCCCTTCATAGTCTTGGAGTGCATCTATCAGAGGGTACTATTATTATGGAAAATTTTGTTTCTAAACAATACGGTGTTTTGATGGAGTTAACTGATTTTTGCATAAATAGATCAGTCATAGACATGCACTCACACACACACAAACACACACACACACACATACACACACTAGTCCTCTGTCAAATAGCTTAGGTGATTTTCCTTGATGCAAAGCACTGATTCCCATGGGAATAGAAGAACAAAGAAGAGAGAAAAAGAGAAAGATAATACATCCCTCAAGACTCGAGGAGAAATAAAACAGTACTGCTTAGAAAAGAATTCAGAAACCATTTTCTCATTTGGAAACTAATATTGTGTGTGAAAAAGCTATCCAGTGGACAGCAGACTCAAGTGTGTTTACACATGCATTTGCATTAATGGAACGGTTCATTTTCTATACATTTCAGGATTTGTTGTTAAGTTTTCAGTTGAGAACATCCTTTATGACAGAAATCCTATGCAGCACATGTATGGCTTTCAACAAGACCAAGGAGCTCAATAACTTTGTGATGTAAATTCAATGGTAACCACAATTCAGTATTCAATTGCAAAATTTTAATACATGCACAAAGAGAATGAATTGGGGGGGGGGGGAATGAAAGTCTGACTCCCACCTTGGAATGTGAGGACAGAACCACAGGGAAGGGCTATAACCCGATCTGTGTCTCAATGTAGAATACCAAGCTTCCTCTGTGTGTATGTGTAGTCAGGTGTGATTCCAGAAGATGCCATGCCATGTCTTTCTAGTGCCAAATTCCACCCAAACACAAAACTGTCTTGGAAGCCCCAACAATGGAGATTCAATGGTGGGAGCACCCCAAAAATCAGACAAGAGAAAGAACAGTCACGTTCTCCACTGTGTATAGATTTACCCACTCCCCAATCCAAGGTCAAAGTGATGTATCTTCTAGAGGCTTTGGGACACATTTTAGTAAGTATGGAAATATTAATATGGGAATACTTATGAATATGCTATGAGGAAACCTTCTGAACTGATTGAGGGCTTATCACTCTCTCAGCTCAGATTTGTATTTGAATCATCTGTAAAGTTATACTCTTACAACAAGCTTCTGGGTTTTAAATACCTCCGTACAGCAAGTAAACGTCCCCTGCTTTCTGTTCTCAGTGTCCTTGGTCATGGTGCTTTTTGTTGCATTAAAAGTGCCGGTCAAACTTTGATAGTATTTTTTTATAGTTGGTGCAGAGTGGAATAACTCATGGATTATTTCAATATTTTTGTAATAAAAATATATAGGGTATACATATAGGCTTCATCACTTTTTTTATAGACCTGAAATCATTTCAAATACTTTAAGCATCATAATCACTTGAGATGTCAGAAACTGGTCCACCAAATCATCAGCTTGCCTCAGCAGATGGAAAACACTTGTCTCTTGCAAGATCACCTACTTTGCAAGTTGGTGCCCCCAGGAACCTGGCCAGGGGTGCTATCAGAATATCATGTGAAGAGAGAAGCTGCCTAAGTAGCAAGGGCTTGTCAAGACTGGCCATTGTTTCCCAGGAAAACAAAGGTATATATGATTACTCTCATTCATCCATTATAACGACCACAGTGGAAGCCGTCTTAAACTTCCTTCCCTGGTTTTATATGAACACAAATCATATTAAAGATTAGATCACCTTTTAAAAAAACAGAAAAAAGAAGGAAAACAGTTTCACTTAATTATTCACTTATTTGGACTGTCTCAGTTATGATACTCAAGTTCTAGAGTCACCATCTGTACAATGGATATGTCATCAGAGACCACTGTCCCCAAGATGGCAGCCACAGGAAATGACAGAGGGCTCCGCCTAGGACTTCTTTTGGTACAAAGCCCCAAAACGATATTTAAAAAAGTCAATTTTTAACAGTAGATATATTTCTTTGTATACCATGATTTTATCCTCCAAACAAGATTTCCACTAAACTATCCTAATCTTTTGTGGGGATGTGGAGACATTTCCTAACCACTGGCAAAGCTCCAAGAAGGCATCGTTCTGTCAGCTTGTGGGGAAAACATTCCAGCCCCACTGTAGAAGTCATCCGTGTGGCAATTTCTTCATATTTGTGCAGAACCATGAGTTATTAGCTTCAGTAGTTCCAAGACAACTTTTAACTGATGATCTTTTGGAAGTTGAGTTTCTCAGTTGAACTGGACCTCTGACTCCATGAGTAGATAACAAATCACAGTATAATAATGTCAAGGAAAATAACCAAGACCAGGCCCGGCCCCTTCACTCTTCAGTCATGTAAGTGTGAAGTTACTTCTCAACTTGATCCCACAGGTAACAATGTTCAGAGTTCAAACAGTTACACTAGAAATAAAAGATAATGGTCTGGTCTCTGTCTCAGATCGGCAGACATGAAGGTGTAAGAGATTTGCATTTTTCAGTCATTTCCCAAATATTATGAAAATTGTTACCCAATACACTTGAAGATTAAGTTTTAGTTAGTGATGAGTTCTTGGTTAAGGAAGTGATATATCCAGCATGCCATAAATTTCAGCTTTCAAAATGCTGAAGCCACAGGATAGAGAAAAAGTGGCTTCAGAGGATAATCATGATTGAATCATCTCATCTTGATTTCAGATTTCACAAAACACACAGTGTATCAGACTGTTGTGCAAGGACACAGGCCCAGATAGGAAAGTATTAGGATTTAAAGCAACATCCCCAATGGACAAAGGAACAAAATTTGACTCCTAAAATTTCTGATGTTGAAGCCTTCACAGGGAGTAACTAGAGGATAATTCAGAAGAGATGAGTGACAAATGGGAACTCATTTTCCCCAGCCTGGGCATCCTGTGGCCAACTCCAATTTGATGCCTTTAAAAGAGGGTCTACTCTTAGCATTCATTCTTCGCATAGGAACATGATGTTTTCTAAAAGAAAAATAATTGAATCATTTTACTTTCAAATTTTAATTTCTAAATGCATTCATATTTAAAGAATATGTTTATGAACACACTTAAATTGAACCTTATTTATATTGAACACACATTTAAAGCTCTACCATGCTAAGTATTTAAATGTTCAAGTGGAAGAAAATGGGTTTTTTTCCCACATATGTCAAAGCATGGTCCTTAAAAGTGACTGATACCCTTTAACTACTCTTTGCACATTTTCATCATCATACTTAACTATTGTCTAACCCAGTATCAATGACTTTGCACACACTCCATTACTATTCATTCACAATGAATGCTGCTAACCCAAAAATTGTAATAAATTCTCTTACCAACAGGTCAAGATAATGTAACTCAAGTGTTAGCAAAAGATAAAAATGCAAAGATAATTTGAAGAAAAAAGTAAATGAAGAATTTATGGTTATTTTCCAAAAGTCCCATTAACTTCACTCTAGAAATAAATAAAGTCATAGTGCTGTATGGTTATGAATGAATGGGAGCTGAGTGCTAGTGGTTTTCACTTATAATCCTCGCTACTCAAAAGACAGGTCTGAGCATCAAAGCCAGCCCAGGCAGAAAAATCCTATGAGAGTCTTATATCCAATAAATCACCAAAAAGCCAGAAATGGAGTTGTGGCTCAAGTAGGAGAGCACTAGCCTTTAGCAAAAAGTCTCAGAGACGGTTCCTGGCCCTGAATTCAAATCCTAAGATTGGTGTGCAGGCATGTGCATGCACGCACATGCACACACACACACAAATGGGACTAGCTTAAATTAAAATGACTGTTGGGTTTGTGTGTGTATGTTTTGTTTTATATCACACACTACTAATAAATAACTAAAGAAAAAAGTATATACTACACTCTAATACATTTAAAGTGGTATTATTGGCACATAACTTCTCAATGAGAAGCTTTGCCCTACTCAGATTCCAAAAAGAACCATGCTTACAAACTATGCCTTTAAGATTTCAACATAAGATATACCTATATATAATTACATTCCTCTTAACTTGAATGATCATGAAGGCCATTCCTTAAGGATCCCAAAATTCTTTTAAGAAACAAAATAGTATAGTTTTGTATCATTACAAAGTTTATATCCCTACAAAGTTTGTATCCATAAGCCAGTTAGATTGAGCAAAGAAAATCTCCAAGTCTGTGCAAGGTTACACATTTACCAAACTATGTACCAAACTATGTCATTGAGTGGAAGGAAGTTCTGACACAATGTTTAGACAAGAATTCAGAGACTTTTTTCTAATGAAACATTTTCTAGACTAAATATATGCTCCCTCACATTCTCCACTCATCTTTGCCATCAGCCATGACTCTTTCTATATAAAGCTCAGAAGAGATGCCTGCATTTTTCTATTACTAAGGAGAATTCCTTAAAGCCTTTTTAAAAATAGCTCCGACTGTCTCTCAGAATCTAGCTCAGAGGCTGGGTGAGGTAGGGGATGACAGTACAACAGGACTGAGGTGATCCTTGGTCCCATTTCACTGATGGATACAGATGACTTCACATTTCTTTATCCAAAGCGATCCAGAGCTTGGCTTCCTCCAGCTTCTCCCATCTGACTGATGTTCAAGTATTACCATTGGCTAAGGATGAGCCAATTCCCTCTGAGGTTCTTACCCTGATCTGTATCCAGCTGTGAAATGATCTCAACTCTTCGGTGCTATCTCCACTTCTTGTTTGGACACCTGTGGGTCAGTGCCAGGCTACCACAGGGCTTTCTGTCAACACATGTCCTGTCTAGTAGCTTTCTTGAAAATTGGCTCAAGGAAAGACTCTCAAAATGTGCCTGTAACCAGCAGTCTCTACTGGATCATTACTCATGCTAAAGGAAAACTGCACAATGTGGGTGGAATTGTATAAAAACATAATGAGCCATTTAATTTTGCTAATTGTAGCAATTAGACCAACTCACAAGTAGCCTGCAGCAGAAAGCCAAATGGAAGAAATGGCAGACAGCCATGTGCCCATGGAAAAAAAGGGTTCAGAAACACTCTCCAGAGTGGTCAAGGTGTCAGGTTTTTCTGTCTACCTGTAGCTCTTTTTCTAGATTCCTAAAGAAAACATGAACTAATACATATATAATTATATACATATATACATACACACACACACACACACACACACCACACACACACACACACAC